TGCCTTTGCCTAGAAGGAAAGAAGGGTGATTGTCATAGGTAACTCCTTTCTGAGAGGAACAGAAGGCCCTATATGTCAGCCAGAGCCTATCCATATGGAAGTGTGCTGCCTCCCTGGAGCCCGGGTCTGGGATATTTCTAGGAAACCTCCTAGTCTGATTCACCCCTCTGATCATTATCCTTTCTTGATAATTCAGGCTGGCAGCAATGAGGTCACTGAGAGAAGCCTGAGGACTACCAAAAAGGACTTCAGGGGACTGGGGTGGTTAGGGGACGGAGTGGGTCATATTTTCCTCTATCCATTCAGTGACAGGGGGGCATACTGAGTTGAGCAGGAAAACACTTCTCATAAATACATGGCTGAGAAGCTGGTGCAATTGCAAGAATTCAGGTGTTTTTGACCATGGGTTGATTAGACCCTGACCTGATGGCTACTGATGGTTCTTACCTTTCTTAAAAGGGGGAAATGGATCTTAGCCCAGGAGATGTCAGGGCTCGTTGAGGGTCTTTAAATTAAATATGAAGGGGGAAGAGGATAAAACCGGTCCTGCTAGAAATAATCCTAGGGGAATGATGACAGACTGGGGAGTGAGGCAGGGGGCTCAACTGAAGTGCATCTACACCAATACAGCCTGCATAGGCAAGAAATAGGAGGAGCTGTAAGCCATTGTGTGGCAGACAAACTTAATTGCCATCATGGAAACATGGTGGGATCACTTCCACAGCTGGTGTGCTGCAGTGAATGAATATATGCTCTTCAGAAGGGACAGGCAAAGAGGGAGGAATAGTGATGTCACTCTCTATGTTAAAGAGTACTTCAGCGTTGTTGAGCCCAGCAGCTGGCAGAGTTTGCGTGATTGCCAGCCCTTGTTCTCATGGGGGGGCTTCAACTTCCCTGATTTTTGCTGGAAATACAACACAGCACAGAAGAAGCAGTCTAGGAGGTTTCTGGAGTGTATGGAAGGCAGAGGTGGTAGGAGAGCCTAGTAGGGGAGGTGCCCTGCTTGACCTGCTGTTCACAAACAGAGGACTGGTGGGAGATGAGGAGGCTGGGAGCTGTCTTGGACAGAGTGACCATGAAATGCAAGAGTTCTCAGTTCTTGGTGAAGTTAGGAAGGGGGACAGCAAATCTGCTGCCTTGGACTTCCAGAGGTTGGATTTTTCAGGACTCTGGTAAGAAGGTCCCTTGGGTCCTGAAGGGTAAAAGCATCCAGGAAGGCTGGTTGTTCCTCAGGAAGGAAGTCTTAAAGGTGCAAGAGCTGACTATCCCACTGTGCCACAAGATGAGCCAGTGGGAAAGAATCATGAACAGGGAGATTTTTCTGAGGCTCCAGGAGAAAAAGAAAATCTACTTCTTGTGGAAGAAGGGATAGGCAACTTGGGGAGAGTACAAATAAGTTGTTAGGGTGTGCAGGGAGAAAATTAGAAAGGTAAAAGCCCAGCTTGAACTCAACTTGGCCTCTGGGATAAAAGAGAAGCAGCAGCTTTTTTACAAATATATTAACAGTAAAAGGATGGCTAAAGAGAATCTCTGTCCTTTACTGGATGCATTGGGGAACGTGACCACTGAGGATAAGGAAAAGGCTGAGGTTCTCAATGCCTTCTGTCTTTAAAAGTCAGACCAGCTATCCTTGAGATACTCTGCCCCCTGACCTGGACGTCTCAGATAGGGAGCAGAATAAACCCTGTGCTATTCGGGTGGAAACAGTTAGAGACCTACTGCTCTGGACTGCCACAAGTCTATGGGGCCAGATGGGATTCACCCAAATGTGCTGAGGGAGCTGACAGATGTGACTGCCACGCTGCTTTCCATCATCGATCAGTGTTCCTGATAACCAGAGAGGTCCCAGAGGCCTGGAGGCTTGCCAGCGTGACTCCCATCTAAAGAAGGGCCATAAGGAGGATCTGGGGAACTGCAGGCCTGTCAGCCTTACTTTGGTGCCAGGAAAGGTTATGGAGCAGATTGTCTTGAGGGAGATCACAGTGCGTGTGCTAGGCAACTGGAGGATCAAGCCCAGCCAACATGGGTTCATGAAAGGCAGGTCCTGCTTGACCAACCTGATTTCCTTCTGTGATCAAGAAACCTGCCTGGTAGATGAAGGAATCATAGGATCACAAGGTTGGAAAAGACCTGCAAGATCATCTAGTCCAACCATCCTCATATCACCATTACTACCACTAAGCTACTAAACCATATCTTAGCACATCATCCAGATGCCTCTTGAACACTGCCAGGAACAGTGACTCCACCACCTCCCTGGTCAGGCCATTCCAGTGCTTGACCACTCTTTGAGAGAAAAATATTTTCCTTATATCTCATCTAAATCTCTCCTGGAGCAACTTGTGGCCATAAAAGGGAAAGGCTGTTGAGTATTCTACCTAGATTTCAGCAAAGCCTTTGACACTGTCTCCCATGGTATTCTCCTGGAGAAGCTGGCAACTCATGGCTTAGACAAGTACGATCTTTGCTGCGTAAATAAATGGCTGGATGGCCATACCCAGAGAGTGGTGGTGAATGGAATTAAATCCAGCTGTTGACCAGCCATGAGTGGTGCTCCCCAGGGGTGAGTATTGGTGCCTGTCCTGTTCAGTATCCTTATCGATGATGAATGAGGGGATTGAGTGCACCCTCAGTATGTTTGCAGACAACACCAATCTGGCCGGAACTGTTGATCTTCCTTGGGGGTAGGAAGTTCCTACAGAGGGATCTGGATAGGCTAGATAGCTGGGGTGAGGACAATGGGATGAAATTCAACAAGACCAAGTGCCCAGTCCTGCACTTTGTTCCCAATACCCCCAGGCAACATTTCAGGCTTGGGGCAGCATAGCTGGAAGACTGTGGAAGAAATGGACCTGGGGATGTTGGCTGACGTTTGGCTGAACATGAGCCAGCAGTGTGCCCAGGTGGCCAAGAAGGCCAATGGCATCCTGGCTTATATCAGAAATAGTGTTGCCAGCAGGAGCAGGGAAGTCATCATCCCTCTGCACTCGGCACTGGTGAGGCCACACCTTGAGTACTGTGTTCAGTTTTGGGGCCCTCAATATAAGAAAGACAGTGAGGCTCTGAAGCATGTTCAGAGAAGGTCACCAAAGCTGGTGAGAGGTCTGGAGCACTAGTCTTATGAAGAGCAGCTGAGGGAGCTGGGAGTGTCTAGTCTGGAGAAGAGGAGGCTCAGGACAGACCTCAATGCACTCTATGCTTCCTGAAGGGAGGTTGCAGTAAGGTGGTGGTCTGCCTATTCACTCACATAATGATAGGACTAGAGGGAATGGCCTCAAGTTGTGCCAGGGGAGATTCAGGTTGGAAGGTAGGAAATTTCTCTGAAAGAGTGGTCAGGTGCTGGAATGAGCTGCCCAGGGAGGTGGTGGAGACACCATCCCTGAAGATGTGGAAGAAATGTTTAGATGTTGTACTGAAGGACATTATTTAGTGGGAATTATTGGTGATAGGTGAACAGTTGGACTGGATGATCTTAGAGGTCTTTTCCGAACTTGGTGATTTTGTGATTCTATGAAATTTGAAGACAGCTCTCTGAACACCAGCATCTCCAACAGAAACCACGGAGCCCTCCTACAAATCCCCTGCATTCATTGCACCATAGATTTGAGAAGGGAACAAGGTTTTCCCCGAAGGAAAAAGTTCTAGTTCTTCCATTAGAACCAAAGGCATGCTTCTTGGAACTGGTGGGAGCCTGTCATAGGATTAGTGGTCAGACCTGATCATACACATATGAATTCTCTTCTCCTACTCCCCTCCTCTGTACTAGTCTTAACAATTTAATCCATAGCAATTTGTCTTGAGGGGCTGTAATTGATCCATCTGTGATTTAGCTCATCAAATGCTCATTAAATAGCTTATAGCCTTTTTTATTCACGAGGAGTAAGAATCAGAGATCTAAAACCACTTAATCTTAACTGCATTCACTTAGTATTCTGGGATTCAGGGAGGCTAGTAAACTTACATGAGTTATTATCTAAAGGTGAGCTGCCAAGTGAACAGGAAGAACGATCCAAGTGCTGCTGATCTGCAAGTGCTCTCTGACCTTGGGTGTCAGGTGTGAGCAGCGTGGAGAATTATTGTTAAAATTCCAGAAGAGATTTCTTGCTGCTCTATGGAGGTGTCCCAGAATCCCCAGTCTGTATATGATCAGATAATGCAGTTTGTGGTGGAGCTTCTGGAACTGCACCATTTTATGCTAGCACTGTCAGCAGGATATGCAGAAGTATTTTCTGCCTTGTATATATAGTTTGGGCTTGACAGTTGTTTTTCTTTTTTAAGCATCACTATTGTTCTTAGCTGCTGTCTGTACTCCAGCGGTGCCTGTAGTGATACGCATTTTTCACGTCACCTGCACCATCCCCTCCCCCTGAGAAAATGCCTGTCACCATCCCTTAGCAAGGATATGCTGGCAATTTGCAAAAGACAACAATGGCCCTGAACAGCAGAAAGCAGTTTCCTTTCCCAGGTTATTTAATGAACACTTGAAACATTTCCAAGATGTAGGAAGGTGAAGTGGGATCTCTGTTTTGTTCCTTTCCAAGCTTGGCTCCGCATGTGGAGAATTCCTTGAAGATGGACAATTTCCTGTATTTCACTATGCAATCTTATGCCTTGCATCTTCAAACTCAGTGTATGATGGAGATCTCTTAAGTGACTACAGCCACAGTGAGCTCTTAAATTCTCCATATTCTTTTAAGGGACCACTTTATCAAGCAATGCATGCAGTGCACAGAATCTATTAACTATAGTCATGAATCCTGTTAACCTTTGAGGCCCCATAGACAAAGCCCACTGTGAAGGATCTGAACCTGAATGGGGCATGTCACAGTTCAGATTAACTGAATTCCCAGATATATGTTTTAAGATTGCAAAGTCTTTGGGAAAAGACACCTTTTCAAATTGCTCAAAATAACAGTATTTATAAACACTCAGTGTTTGTGTGTTTATAATTGCACCTTGTTCTGTGTAAATATTAATAAGGTATTTTTCTTTCTTTGTAGTGTACAGAGGCCAAAAAGCATTGCTGGTACTTTGAAGGGTTATATCCTACCTATTATATGTAAGTAGTCATCACTTTCCTTTTTGTGTTTTCTAGTGAACAAGAGGTAACTAGATTCTTTCAGCTCTTAGAATGTTATTCTTTCATGGATTACACTTTTTCCATAACTTTTCTGAGACCTTCTCCCCATCTAATTTAAAAATGAATGTGCAAGAAATTTTATTTCCCCACTTTCCCCATCTATTCTTATTTTTATTTCCCCTCCAGTTATTAAAAAAAGAAAAAAAAAAAGTATACATACAGATTCGGATGATCTTTCCAGTTGAAAAGAAAATGTTGGATATTAAACAGCTCTCTTTTCAGAATGATGAAAGGAAACATAAGTGGAGCTGTGTGAGGACAGTTCTCTCTTTGTTTTGAACAAGGGAAGGTAATCAAGCCGCATACCAAAAGTATCTTTGTCCCTATGGTAATACTGTTGCTTAATTTATGGATTTGAGATGAGTTATTATCTGTGGCATTAACTGTCATTTTGATGGGTGGCATCTATATTCACATCAGGTTTGGGTGTTAACCAAATGCCAATGAACTGTAGGTGCATGATTGAGGGTCCTTCTAAATGGCAGTTTTTTGTTTTAAATTGCTCACAGCAACAATAAAGAGGTGGACGAAATGTATGAGTGGGCGGTTATTGTTCTTGTGTACTTGGGGGCAGAAAGGAGATAAATGCACTAGACTTTGGGTTATGTAACTTTATAATTGCAAACATCTTTTAAACCTAAGTTAAAAAAAAAATAAATGGGGTGCCGAGTAGGTAGCAGCAACAGGTCATTGTTACCTGGGCAAATTCTCCTCCGCTCACAGGTAGGAAATTACTGTAATCCTGATCTCCCCAGGAACCTTCCTCCTTTTTCTTCTCCACCTCCACTTCATCTGCCAGAAGCAGGAGAGAAACGCTAGAAACAAAAAACAGCCAGGAGGCCAGGCAAGAAACAAAGCTCCCTGAAAGACTGAACCACTGTGTGGTTTAATTATCTGTGATGCTGAATATTAACTGATGAGGAAGTGTTTTTGCCTGCAGTTTGCTGTCTATTTTTCATCTGATTGAAATGTTGAGAATGGTCCAAACTGTATATACAAGGCATAAAATGTTTCTGCATAAATGGTTGGATAGAACATATGAGTGAATTTAACTGCACACAGCTTTGAAGATGGGAAGGAAGAAAGTTGTGAATTAAACAGAGAACTGAGAAAGGGATTATACATATGTATATATATATATATGGTTGTTAGAAAGAATTGCATGATTTGAGAGATTTTATTTTGTTTTTTAGCGTGGAGAGAAATCTGTTGTATATTGGCTATGTCAGGCCAGTCAAAAGAATGCAAACTGTAGTTATGTTTGTTGTGATAGTTACTACATGTTGGGAAATATTTTTTACTCTGATAGGCTTGCTCAACTATCTTAATCCCAAAAAGAGCCAGAGGAGAGCCTTTAGCTTTCTTTATTGAAATAAAGAGAGAGACTACTGGGGGCATTTCTCTGTAGGCATGTCTCTCAACCCATCAGAGGTTGCAGACTCTTTTTTATCCCTCTTCCTGAATACATTGTTCCTTTTCCTTTCTTCATTGGCTGAAGTACTTGGAGGTGACAGACTTCCTGATTTGCCTAATATATGTTCCCCCTTGTAGGTGACCACTCTGTGCATCATACATTGCATGCGCAATTAACTTTGTGCCACCCAGGACAGAGAAGTTAATTGGCCTATTAAGCCTGTGCAGTAAGTTTAAAATTCCTAAGTTCAGGTTATTGATTGACCTTTGTAACTGAAGCCTTATTTGGTGAGAGTTTACAGACATCAAACAGAGAAGAATTTGTAAGCCTGTGCACAACTTGTCTGCATGGACAAGTTTGCAAGCCTCTTCTATCTCATTACAACACCCTGTTTTCCAAGGTATTGCATAAAGGTGTGACACTGTCCAGTGCTGGACAGTTTAAGTAAATGGAAAAAGGAAGGGGAAAGTGGCGGGATGTGTGTGCTCAGTGATTATTGTGATGGTGATGAGGATCTTATTCATGCCATTATTATTATTGTGATTATGAGTTTAAGTGAGGAAGAAGAAACTCTAAAGAAAGGCGGTAAAGATTTGGAGATGATAAAGCTCAGAGGGTAGATGAGGGTAAATTTGGAAGGAAGCAGGGAGAGGCTATTCGAGTGTATATAAACCCTGTAGGGTTAAAGGGAGAACTGGCACCAAAACTATAGGGAATCAATGCCTGGAATTTCCTGATTTGTTACTTCAGTTTCATTTCTTGCTGGATAGGATCCCTTGCTGTCTTTCCTACCTGTGCTGTCTTTACACGTCTGCATTGTGAAGGAGAAACACAACACCAATCTTAGTGTCCTAGGACAGTGCCCCATTGCTTTGGCATTTGTTTTACCCATGACTGAGTTAAGTCAACTCACTCATGCCACAGAAACTGGAATTTTATCAATGCTCATAAGTGCTGGTGGGGCCAGACTCTTTTCAGTAGAGCGCAGCGACAGTACAAGGGCAGCACAAATGAACACACAAAAGTTCCATGAGAGCATTGAGAAAGATCTTGTTTACTTTGAGTGTGGCAGTGCACACACAAGGTGCCCAGACAGGTTGTGGAGTTTCCTTCTCTGGAGATTCATTACACATCTGGACGCTTACTTGTGTAACTTACTATAGGGAGCCTACTTTAGCAGGGGGGTTTGAACAAGATGATCTCCAGAGGTGCTTTCTTACTCCAGTGATTCTGTGATGCTTCTCTCACATTCTCTAAACTTTTCTACATTTTCTGTGTGAATCTGTTTGCTTAAAATATAGCTTATTTCAGAGTGGAAACTATCATGAAAACTTGCAAGGATTTTTAGAGACACATTGCTGTCTGGCTGTTGATAAAGTGAATTTCCAAGAGAATTCTTAATTTACTTCTCTAACCAAACCAACTGGTTGTCTGAGTCATGAGATATTGTCACTTAGTTACTTTTGTTTTACTTTAGCAAAATATTTATTTCTAAGACCAGGAAAAGTAAGTAAGTATAAAATAAACTCAGAAAAATCAATCAGTCAAAAATTCACACCTGTGCTGAAAAAAATTAGATCATACTTCTACATGTTGAGATGCACTGAAGGCAATTCAGAATTGAAGCTGTCATGGTTTTATGATTTTGATTATTGGTATTCCACACCATAACATCATATAGTGCACTGGGAGTAAAAGAGTTAATGGTCCAGTTCCATGCATCTGTCTGGAAGAAAAGAATTACGTTCCCCAGAACACTTTGTGTTCAGAGACAAGATATAACCCTTGGCAAGGTCACAAGACCCTCCCTTTCTTTTTTTTTTGTCTCTCTTCCCTGCTGCTCAACCCAACAGCACGCATCGCCTCAGCACTAGTGTAAGGCCTACAACTTTCAGATTGTGAATGTACACAAATGTACCCTGTGTATTGCAGGGTGAAGTGTGTTCCAGATAGGGCTGACTGTTCCCTTAGATCTTCATGGTTTATTTTTCCTCCTGTTGTTACCTACCTTTGCATCTGAGCATTTAACAAAGTGATAAATTCCAGGTGCTTGGTTCTGCATTGCTCTAAACCTTTCCTTTCCAGACTTGGTGGCATTCTAATAAAGCAGCATAAATGTTTCTGAGTGTAAGTACGTGTCCAGAGATATGGAAATACCATGGGTCATGTTTCTGGGTCAGTGAGGTAGTCACATGCAGTAAGGAGTATGGGTAACTTAGAGGGAGAAAAGAATTTTGGTATTATCCAGCATAGTTTTAAGATTATTTCAAATCATCCTGTTGAATAATGGCGTGTTGAAGTTCTTAATGATGTGATATGCTAAGAGAATAGTCAGGAAAAGTGGGAGAGGTTCTCAGGATATCTCCAGTCCAACCTCCTGCTCAGAACAGGTCAGACTGGATTTCTCAGGGCTTTATCCAGTTGGGTCTTGGAAAAATTCCAAGGAAAGAGATGGCACAAACTCTCTGGACAGTATGCTCTCTTGCTTGACCATCCTCATGGTAGATACATTTTTTTGCTGCATATCAAGTCAGAACCTCCTTTGTTTCAGTTTATATCCATTATCTGTGTCCCACACTGCACCACCAGGAAGAGCCTGACTCCATCTTCTCAGTAACCTCCTGGGTCCTGACAGGTTGCTCTTGGGTCTCTTTGAAGCCATTTTTTCCTACAAGGAAAACAAGTTCAAGTTCCTCAGCCTCCTCACAGAACAGGTGAGGCCTCTGAGCCTCTTTGTGGCCCTCTGCTAAGCTTACTGCAGTTGATCAATGTTATTCTTTATACCAGAGCTGCAAAGTCAAATATAGTATTTTAGATACGGTCCAGCAAGTGTTTGGTGAAAGATGATAATTACTTTGCTTGATTAACTCACTAGGCTTCAGTTGGCCTTTATTGCTGCCATGGCACACTCCTGGCTTGTGTTTAGCTTGCATTTAACATGACCCCAAGGGCCTTTCCAGCAGAGCTGCTCTGTGCAAGATGTTTGTCCTTCTCACAGGCAAAGCTTTTGCATTTGTCTTTGTTCTTTTTTATGAGGTTCCTCTCAGGCTGTTGAGCTCCCTAGCTGATCATCCACAAGTTTAGTATTATCTCATGAACTTGGTGAGTGTACCTTAATTCCATTGACATGCTTGTCAACAGGATGAGTTCAGATCTCTGCAGCACTACCAGTGGTTTTTCATTCTTTCTGGGGAGAGTGTGACCTATAGACACTGTCCTTTGAGTCCTGCTGTCCTACTAGTTGGTTAGAGTTTTTTTAAACCCATCCAGCTCTCTGGCTTGTCCAGCAACCCTCAATCTGAATAGGAGTGATTTATCTTTAGTAAATTCATGCCATCTGTTCTTGGTACCTTTCTTCTTCTTCATAAGCCCATAAATGTGTCTCAGAAGAACTTGGTCTTTGATTTTTTAAAATTATTATTATTTTGCCAGCAGCTGAAGTAAGTATGATTGGCTTGTGAATCTCCAGATTATCCTTTTGGCCTAGTTTAAAGATGGGCAAAAA